GTGACTTACTGATGGCCGTTTGCCACTCCATACTTCTTCAGGAACCTTGTTCTTAAATATCTTAGTAGGACACTTATTCAAAATATAAACTGCAGTCGAAACAACTTCTCCCCATAAATATTTTGGCAAATTCTTTTTCTTCAGCATGCATCTCGCCATATCTAATATGGTTCTATTTATTCTTTCAGCAATTCCATTATGTTGAGGTGTGTAAGGAGCAGTTACCTCATGATCAACACCATGTTATGCACAGAAATCTTCAAATATCTTGGATGTGTATTCACCACCTCCATCTGTTTGCAGAATTTTGATCTTCTTCTTACTCTGGTTTTCGACAAGTATCTTGAATCTCTTAAAGATTTCGAATACTTCGTCATTTCTTTTGATCACATAGATCCATAGCTTTCGACTATACTCATCGACAAATGAAACAAAAATATCGGTTTCCACCAAGTGTATGTTCTTCGAATGGACCACATACATCTGAATGTACCACTTCGAGAATGCAGGATGATCTCATTGACATAGTCGAAACGAAAGAATTTCTGGATTTCTTTCCCACTAAACAACCTTCACAAATTTTTTTAGGCATCTCAAGGCTTGGAATACTAGTAACCATATCTTGAGTAATCAGTTGATTAAGTGATCGCAAATTCAAATATCCAAATCTCAAGTGCCACAACCAACTATCCTTATGGTCGACAACAGTTTTCAAGCATTGACTTTCTATCGAACTGATCATAGTCTTAAATATCCTATTCTTCGACAATGGAGATTTTAAGACCAAATTGTTCTTTATGTCGAACAATTTCAAAACTTCATCTTTCATGACAACTAAGAAATCTTTTTTGACTAGTTGTCCAACACTTAGCAAGTTGCATTTCATTCCAGGTACATAGAGCACATCTTTGATCATAGCTTTCCCTCCATTACTCATTTGAAAGACTATGTCGCCAGTACCTTCTGCTTGCAACGAACTATTATCAGCAGATTTTACCTTGCTCTCTTCGACTCGTCAAAATCTACCAACCACTCCTTTCAACCAGTCATGTGGTTCGAGCAGTCTGAGTCGAGAAACCAGATCTTGGATTCAACATGGTTATCTGCAACTGCAACCATAACCACCATACCACTTTCAGAATCATCTGAATCTTGGCGTGCAAGGTTCGCTCCTTTGTCCTTGCTTGTCGATCTCTTGTCTTTTCTGTACCAACAATTTTTGGTCAAGTGTCCCCACTTTTCACAGTTATAACACTGCATACCTTTCTTATATTCTTTGTTATTTCGATAGTTTCCTCCTCCCCTTTTCGAGGATTCAAAAGATCTATCTTCGACCTTATTCTTATGGTGATTCGACCAAGACTTCTTGCCATGAGTCTTGTCGAACTTTCCTTTGAATTTGTTGAAACCACCATATTTTTTCCATGATTGAGCTTGCAGTGCCTGTATCGAGCCCTAAACTCCTTTCCTTTCGACAATCTTCATCTCATGCGCCTCCAACGAACCAACCAAATCTTCCACTTTAGTGGTTTCAAGATTGTTGGATTCTTGAATAGCTACGATAACGTGATCAAAGTGAGAGGTCAACGTTCTCATTACATTCTCAACTATCATCTTATCAGTAATAGTTTCACCACAATCCTTCATGAGATGGACGAGTTTCTGAACCTTCGACACATATTCTGCAACTTTTTCATCTTCTCCCATCGACAACAACTCATATTATCGACGCAAGGTTTGTAATTTGACAACCTTGACTTTCTCACCTCCTTCGAAATACTTTACCAGAATATCCCATGCCTCCTTCGCCGTTTCAGCATGAGAGATTCTGTCGAAGTTAGCAGCATCGACAGCCGCTTAAATGCAATAAGCAGCCTTGCAATCTTTCTTCTTGACTTCGTTGTGAGCTTTTTTCTGTTCGTCAGTTGCATTTGCAGCCAACGCAGGAACGCCGTCGGTAACCACTTCTAGGGTTTCATGGAAGCCAAATAAGAATTGCATCTATTTTTTCCATCGGATCCAATTTTTACCGTCAAGCATTGGAAGAGAATTTATAATGCCCTTATCACTAGTCATCTTCGCAGCGGTTGATTTACTTGCCCTAGAAAAACGATCTCTGACGTGAAATTCTTGAAAACTTGATCAAGAACAATAACCGGAAGCTCTGGATACCAATTTGTTAGTGCGTGAGGCACTTTTAGTTAGGAGAGAAAGAGAGAATAATAAAGGAAATAAATATTTGTATTATTCAAGTGTACAAATAATGATATACACTATGACTATTTATATACAATCCTAATTGGATTTGAGCTAACACAACTTGGATTATATTAAATATTAAATCTAATCAAATCTAGTCTAATCTAATTTAATATTTCAACATCTTCTCCCTCTCCATTCTCTACATCTCAATACAAATTCTTTCTTCTTTGTTTTTCGAGTGGCCTTGTGTGCCATCAACGACTGAAATTCTTTTAGATACTACGAGTGGTTTAAACACCATCTGAAGGTGTATTTTTTTGAACGATTCATCACAGTGCAAGTGATAATCGTAATCCTTTTGTGAACGAGTTGTTTTATCCTGGAGGTGTCTTGATTATTAAGAGTTACGTTGCACAATTTTGACAGTATCGCGAAACGTCTTAAAGAAAGCGGACCGTTTCGCTACTCAGCCGATAACTTCCTTCGTGACAATCTTTTCAAAAATCCGATAAACAACAAAGACAAGTTATTCAACTACTCCGTCCTTGCTAGCTTGCAGAAAGCAGTTTATATACATATATACAATACAAGAGGAACTCCTTCTTCTCTTTCCCCATTAAAGTCCATAGGAACCTCTTAATCTTACTCAAAGGTCCTTTACCTCCCGGGAGTGGTTGATAGAGACAAGACTGATACAGCTGTGAATGACACTTCAGGTTTTTTCTTCAACGGTAGCAAACAAGTTGTTAAGCGTTGTTGGTGCTTTTCATTTCCTTCTCAAGTCTAACTTTCATAATCATACTGACTTTTGGTAAAGCTTATTCACTGTTGAATTGTTGTGGTGGTCGAGCCTTGAATGAAGAAGAGTTAACTTGTCTGGGAATATTTCGCGTAGTCTTGGGGGCTTAACCCGTGAGAATAATTTTAAGGATACTTTACCAGGAGTTCGTTGGGCTGGGCTACTCCTTTCTCCCAATTTTCAGCTGTTTGTTTGTTCTTTATGACACTGCTCAATTCAACTTGCTCTGTGACTGATGGTGTGCCGTAGTGTTTTGCGATGTAATCCCAAGCAACCATTCTGTAATAATCTTACTCGAAGTACTCATGGAACATATTTTCTGTTGACCCATCGGATGCACCAACCAACCTGTGGTTGACCGCATTATATCTTCATCTTATGAAATCCTTGCTCAACAAGGCACCTTTTCGCGGTATTCTCCTACCACTGGCCGGCTATATTCCGTGTCTGCATCATAAGCTGTGGAGATTCTACTATAGGTTTAGGAAGAGGAGGTGTTGCACTGGAAGCTTCATTTGGATTATTTTGATTATGTGGGCTTGATTTTGTGAAAGGAATAGACACTTAATCTTCCCATAAGTGAGGCGTCTGAGTGGTTGTTTCCGCTACAGTTCCCTTCTCGAGTAGAGAAGGTAGTATTCAAACTTCTCTGTTGGTTCACCAAGGAGTGAAAAGCTTCCCTAAAGGATATGCAACTACATCATGAAAGAAAGTTAAAAAGCTATCCATTCTTATAAGTAGGCCTATTATGGGGATAGTTACACAGTTTCTTACAGATCAATCAGTTCTATGGCTTACTAATATATATTATACTAATTCTTGCACAATTAAGAAAGCGTTAAAAGTCTTCTTATGCTATGCACCTTAGCACTAGAAGGAATCCAGAAATAGATTCACCCCTTAGGTCGATCTTCCCCAGCCTTGCCATTGAGAGTGAGACTTTATCCAAATCTTTCATACCCTTGTGGAAAGTAACATGTAATTGATTAGTCACGGGCATCCTATCTTAGTCTCTGATGAAAAAAGAATCTTTCTAGAACTCGGCATGATCCTTTGGAATCTTTCCCGTTCGGATTTACTTAGGAGGCTTATTCAGAACTACAAATAGGATTCCTTCAAAGAGAACCCTTACACGACAACAACAACAATCACTCACTGAATACTCTGTTTTTTCGCAAAGGGTTCTCTTTCCGACTTAGCTACTATTTTGATGGATTAGCCCTTAGGGTTCATCATCCAAGAATTTGTTTAGAATCTCTGCCTTCTATACCTATACCAGGAAATGGATTTGAACCAAGTATAAGATATTAAAAATGTCCGAGAATACTTGGTATTTATCCTTATTCAACTCGATAAATTGAAAGGAATAAGGAGATAAAACAAAAAATAGTCCGACTTAGACAACTAATGCCTTTTCCCAATCTCGGTTTTGAGGTTGAGCACAAGAATAAGCAAAAAAAAAAAAAGCAACACTCAGAACAAAAACAACTAGACTTGCCACCCTCAAGAATTAAAACAAGCAGACCAAATACGGCATAAAGGTGTTTTTTTATGAAAGCTAAAAGATGAATAATTAGAGGGAACATGCATTGCTTCATTTAAAGAGCTTTTGAACTTGAGCCTCCTACCCAATTTACACTTATGTCTATTAAGTATATTTCAGAAACTTCATAAAACCACTTTAATGCATCATTAATTCCAACATTATTTAACAGAAAAATAGAAAATTAGGCGTTAAATTCATAAAATAAGGAAACATATCAACGGAATACTTTTCATATGAAAACACAACATGAACTAACTATGATTAAGTATATTTGTCCAGGAAAGATCAAGGAATTACGAAAAATCAATGGTTTTTACATTTCATATACCGCACTTGTGCGTCGTATACCAGTAGAATACCTAAGATTCTATAAGATTGTTCTATTAGAAGTACACAAAGGAAGAGAGAGAGTAAGCCCTTGGGCAGTCAAAGCAAGAGCTTCACCATGGGTGGTCAATGTCGAAGGCATGGACGGTGAAGAAAAATCCTGCCATTTGGGCGCGGGTGCAGGCGAAGATATGGATGGTCAAGAGCTTCATAAGCTGAAATCCTGCCATTTGGGCACAGGCAAAGCATTTTCTGTCCAACACAAAACACTGGCTATAAATAAACTTGCAGTTGATCAATAAAAGAGTTATTAGAAGAAGAAACGTAAACAGTAACGTGTAGGAGGCAGGGAAGTTACCGAAAGAAGATCAAGACCAGCAGGTTCGAGGCTTGGGAACTCTTCAGCTAGGTCCTACAAAATCAATTAGTTTCCATACATTGCTTATTGGATGGCCTGAACTTATGAAATGAAATGGAATTGAAAAAATCAGAAGATTAATGAATACCTTTGGCTGTATTGGAGGGTTAAATGCTTGAATAAAATTGCATATAGAAGAGACGCCAGGCCAAGTTTGTTCTGTTGGTGTACCAAACAAACTTTACATAGAAAATATGCAATTAATTAGTTTTGTTTGTATAACATATGCAGAGATATCACAGAAATAGTAATTGTGTTTAGATGAAATTACCAAAAAATCTCAGCCAATACCCTAAGCTTGTCTATATCATTGAAGAGAGGTTGGCGCTTAATGATGCGAGCAAATATGCAGCCCATAGACCAGATATCAGCTGCAGTTGAGTAATTGGTTGAGCCCATCAAAAGTTCAGGTGCTGTATAGCTAGGATGAGCCTTGTGCAAATCAAAAAGAAAATTAGAAAAGCATTAGTTTCAATGGTTTAAAGTATCCTGGGTTGTTTTTAACAATGTAAAAAAGAGAAAGTATATAGTATCATACATGAAGAGAAGTTTTGGGGGCACGAATACCACATAGCTTCACTACAGGAGATTCATCTGGGTGGTATTCAATGAGAACATTAAAAGGATTGATATCAGTGTGTAGAATGTTGTGAGAGTGGAGGTATGCCAATCCAGAAAGAGCTTGACTTAGAATAGACTGCAAAGGTATGGAAATATAGAAGAAAATGTTGAAATTTGTTATGGTTGAAGTAGAAGCACTAGAGAACAAAGATGACTTACTGTTTCAAATGTGGCAATGCTAATCATGGGATTGGTGATGTATCTTTCAAGATTTAGGTTAACATGATCAAAAACAAGATACACATCTTCCTCGGTAGCCAGAATTTGAAACAACCTGTAGATATCATTCACACCAAACATATATAAACTATTCATCAAAACTTGATTTCAAGAAAAGAAATGATTGACCTGACCTGACCTGACGATATTGGGATGGTTTAAACCTTTGAGGATAGAGACGTGATTCAAAATGGTGGATGGAATTCCGTTGTGTTTCTGTTCCTGAGGAATGGTTAGAATCTTGATAGCGACAGTCTCATTTGAACAACGCTGAATGCACTTGATGGCATCGCCCGAACACAAATCAGTGTCAATTCGCACCCGTTGAAGATCTCTGTGGAACCGAAGTAGGAATTCCGCTTGATTTGGTGATAGCTTCGGTCTGCATCGGAGACAATTTAGGAAGAAAAGTAAGAACGGAGAATGAAAACAAAACACTTGAGAGAAGGAAATGAAAACTCACATCATCGTGTCAAATTGTTGCAATCTTAGATCCTCAAGTTTATTGATTCCCACCATTTCAGACCAAGAAAGAGAGAGAGATTGTAAGAAAGAGAGACACTTAATGTGATTTGCGATTCGCTTTTATAGCTTTTTATTTCCCTCCAACACTTATCTATCGTATAAGTCTTATTCTTTTTCACTTTTTATATTTTAATTATCTTCTTGGGCTAAATCTAGGTTACTTAGAATCAGTTATATGGATGTTATGGAGACTTGGGCGAATAGTCAGAAGAGAAAGAAGTTCTACATTGTTCTCATTAGGTATGTGTAATTCTATATCGTCGTTGTTGGTTTTGTATTATTTGACTAGTCATTCAGTTGATTTGAAAAAACAAGAGATGACACTACTGTTCAATTGTCACTTACTGGAGTGTTTGAAGCGCATCGCATATCAGATGCACTTTGAACTCTGATATTGTTATTCAAAATTAACACTTACTTCTTTGTCTTAATGTTTGAAACTTCAGGCTCGGTCCTCTCCAATGCAAGACCTCGCCCAGTTCGGCAGGGAGAAAGGCTTCGAGAATTGTCCCATATATGTCTCCACGGGGGAGATCGGGAGCGTTCTTCGTTTCATCAGAGAGGAGGGCTTCGAGAATCAGGTCTTTGGTACTTTGTGGAGGACCGACGAGTTTGTTCCAACATCATCAGGCACTCACCATACGCGAAGATCTTGTAGTTTGTCTGGTTGATCGTCGCGAATAAGGCTTTCGTCGTGGCGTCAGCATTTTCGGGAATGGGGATCCCCTGATACGCGACCGGCTCGTAATGTTGCCGAGGATGGTGGGCGTCGTCGCCTGGTTGCGAGCGAGTGGAGGAAGATGTGGTCATCCCATCCCAGGTTCTTTCTCGGAGGCGGCAACGTTGTTGTTGTTGTCCGTGTTGTTGTTGTTGCCAATGATGTTATTGTTGCTGACGTCGATAAAGTGAACGTTCTATTCATTGTTGATAACTTGGTCGGCCATGACAACCTGAAGGTTAAAGGTGTTGCTTTGGTCTTACGTGAATGAAAGAGGGGGAAACCTTATTCCCATAAATGGCGCCACTGATCGTACCTGATCAGAAGAGATCGTCAAGGCCCATGAGTTTCAAGTTGAGCAACGGTTGAATATGAAGTAGAAGGGAGTACCTGCAAGACACTCTGATGCCGGAGTGAAGTTCAGAACGAGAGCAAGTAAAGTAGGTGAGATAGTGAATGAATGAATGGATACTTGACCCTCTCATGTGAGAGCGTATTTGTAGCCTCCAGTGCTTGGTTAAGATCTATGTAGTGGACCAAGTGATTTGGACCCAATAACAAGGACTACTAGGATTTACGTGGGTAATAGGGTCCATCACATGACTCTCTCCCTGGTAAAGCGTCTCGAGAATATATGGACAATGGACCTGTTATTCTCGGAGGACAGGTGGTGTAGTTAGGACACGTTATCTAACGGACACGTGGGAGAAATCCCCAACGACTATTTGACTTGAACCTGAAGCTATTGTGCCATAAACAGAGGCACTGGTATTGAGCGTACTCATCTGCGGATCAAGTGTCGGTCCGGCCCAGAACAAAATGTATTAAAACTAAATAATAAATTTACTGTATTTATAAATAAAAATTTATTTATAGTTATATTTGGAATAAACTTACCAAATTAATTATTGTTGCCACAAAGCATGGAAATGAATTTCTTAAATTGGTTATCATTAAGATTTAAAATTAATTAAAGTAACAAATTTATGTTTGTACACACTCGACCTCGACCAACTGGCCTTTGGATTTTATTAAATAATTAATATGTTTAACTTATGTTTGATTGTGTAAAAAAAACTCATGTTTGATTATCATTAATTTTTTATTTGTCCACATATTTTCAATGATATTTTTCAATATGAATAGAACAATTTTTATTTGAAATACTAATTAATTAATCTAATTTGCTCTTTTAGATAAACTAATAATAAGTAGTACAATTTAACAAATAAAATATGGTGAAATTTAGAATGAACCATTAAACAGATGGTTTCCGAGTGTATCACTTTTATAAATCATTAGATCTATTAGGAGACTTAGAATAGAGATAAAAAAAAATAGGTTTATTTTTTGGGGAGAGGTTGTCAAAAATTACTGATCAAAATATTAAATATTTATGAGAGTATGGAAATATTAAATATTAACGGAAACGTGAAGTTACTGATCAAAATATTAAATATTAATGAGAACATGAAGTTATTGATAAAAATATTGAATATTAACGCGAACACGAAGTTAGTGATGAGAATTTTGAATATTAACGCAAACATGAAGTTATTAATGAAAATTTTGAATATTGACGGAAACATGAAGTTATTGATCAAAATTTTGAATATTAAAAAAATACGAAATTACTGATCAAAATATTGAATATTAAAGAAAACACAAAGTTACTGATCAAAATATTGAATATTAACGGGAATATAAAGTTACTGATCAAAATATTTAATATTAACAAGAACATGAAGTTACTGATCAAAATATTGAATATTAACGAGAACATAAAATTACGAATCAAAATATTCAATATTGACAGAATATGAAGTTATTGATAGAAATATTGAATATTAACGAAAACATGAATTTATTGATCAAAATATTGAATATTAACGAAAACATGAAATCATTGATTAAAATATTGAATATTAACGAAAAAATAAAATTACAGACCAAAATGTTGAATATTAGCGGGGAGATGAAGGTACGGATCAAAATATTAAATATTAACGGGAACATGAAGTTTTGATCAAAATATTAAATATTAACAGAGAATTTTTAATTATCTTTTTAACAATTGTCCTCTGATTAAAATAATAAATTTTCTTGTTTAAATAATTTTGTCTTTAAATTTTTTCATCTTATTACATTTTAAAAACAAATTCCTGTAACACACTCCTACTCATACGAACGCACGAATATCTCATTACTCAAATCAAGAGAAGATTTAATATTTTAACTTTTTAAAGAGTGGTGTGTTTATGAGTTAAATATTAGTGAGTTAAGGTTTAATATTAATAACAAATCAAACAATTCATCAGATTGCCATTAAATTATTCAATAAAAACATTCTAAAATATTTATATTTACCAATTACATTTGTTCAACTAAATCAACTACTATATCTTTTTTAAAATTTATAATTGCTTAATTATATTATACTATTGGTTATTGGTTGTCAATTAGTTATATTTGAGCATGGCAAATGTGTCTTTTTAAACATAGAGATTCAAACATCATTTCAATAATTTAATATTTTGTTGGTAGAATGAAGATTATAAAGATTGACAAATAAGTGTCTATTAATATTATAAAAATATTAAATTAATAAAAATATTAAATTAATGATCAAAATATTGAATATTAACATGAACATAGAGTTACTGATCAAAATATTGAATATCCTACCAAAAAATTGAATATTGAAAATATTAAATTATTGATCAAAATATTAAACATTAAGGGAACATGAAGTTATTGATTAAAATATTGAATATTATCGAAAATATTAAATTACTGATCAAAATATTAAATATTAACGGGAATATGAAATTACTGATCAAAATATTGAATATTAACGGAACATGAAGTTACTGATCAAAATATTTAATAATAACAGAAAAATGAAATTATTAATTAAAATATTGAATAATAACGGAAACATGAAATTATTGATTAAAATATTGAATAATAACAAAAATATGAAATTATGATCAAAATGTTGAATAATAATATAACAACTTTATTATTAGTTTAACTATTTTTTGATAATAATTCAAAAACAAAAATAATATTTATATAAAAAAATATATTATTTATTTAAATATTTTTATATATTAAAAGAATTATAGCCACCTACTTATTATATCTTTTAAAAGAATTTCATTTTATTTTTATTATAATAATAATAATAATAATAATAATAATAATAATTTATATTATTATTATTATTATTATTATTATTATAATAATTATCATTATTATTATTATTATTATAATAATTGTTATTATTATTATTATTATTATAACAATTATTATTATTATTATTATTATTATTATTATTATTATAATAAAAAAATTATTAATATTATTATTACAATTATTTTTATCATTATAATTATTATTATCATTATTATTATTATAATAATTATTATTATTATCATTATAATTATTATTATTATTATAATAATAATAATAATTATTATTATAATTATTATTGTGATTATTATTATTATTATAATTATTATTAACATTATTATTATAATTATTGTTATTATCATTATTATTATAAATATCATTATTATCATAATTATTATTATCATTATCATTATTATTATAATTATTATCATTATTATCATTATTATCATAATCATTATTATTATTATTATTATCATTATTATTTTAATTATCATTATTATCATTATCATTATCATCATTATTATTATCATTATTATTATTATTATTATTATTATCATTATTATTATTATTATTATTATTATTATTATTATTATTATTATCATTATCATTATTATTATTATACATTATCATAATCACTTTCAACCAAAGGTTTGACATCGGCTTCCCCAAACATGAGCTACTTTTCCAGCAAAGTTCCTTCAGAGAGCTGACGTCTATGTTCTCCAGCTGAATTTTATAATCTCAAGCGGTTCATAAAGTTTTCTCCCGAGCAGAGTTTATGTCTCTGAATACAGAAGATCAATCCCCAACAGAGTTTATCTCTCTAACTACGAAAGTTCATCCCCTAACGGAGTTTATTTCTCCGAATCAGCAAAATCTTCCCGCAAAGCATCTCCTCTCGCAAGCAAAGCTATTTCCCCGTAGAGTTATTCTCAAGAAGAGTCTCTCCCCTGCAGAATATTCGTAAACAAAGAGTAAATCTACAACATAATCATCTCCATTCACCATCCCCAACGAGAATGAATAATTCGGCTTCCCTGATACTCTTCAGTGACAGTCCATGATTTATTTTCCCCGACTA